ACCTGTACCTGGTAGCAGGTCATCACTCGCAGAGGCAAGCAGGTCGAAGTTCGCCACCTGCCGACGCTCCGTGACCTGCATTTGCATTCGCGCTCCACAGCTGGTATTGGGAAATGGCCGGGGAAAGGAGGGGGAGGAGGAAGACGTCGAGGCATCGCATGTGACACTCCACTGCTGTCGAACTTGGCAGTGGCTGCTGGCCGTCGTGGATGCAACCGGCATTCTTAGTCCACGCAAACTGCCATGTAACTTTCTGTTTTTCAGCTTGGGATTATTTCACTTTTAACGAATTGGCGAGGCGCAAGACGATGAAACGAAGGTCGCGGGTCTGTTCCAGCTTCCGCACTCAGTGGTTAGCAGTTTGCTCTTTTTTTGGGTTGCTGTATTTTCGCGAGCGAAGCGAAACTGGCACTGCTGCTCTGCAATCAGAGGTGGTGGAAGCAGAACGAGTCTCACTTCGCACGCATTGGCCCTAATAGCTTGATTGTTTATGCTGGCTTGAGACCAGGCCCCGCTAAGTACTGGAAAATTTGGAATCCTACTAAAATGCTAATGAAAATAATGAAATTAACAGCCTTTTTAATAAAAGTAGGAGCAAGACGGGGTTAAACGTTTCTTACGGCACATGTGTAATTTGGTCGCAGTGTAGGCCATCAAAGGAAAAAACAGTCGAATTTCAATATTTGGTGAAAATCAAAAGAGCCGTTTAGCTATCTCAGGTATACAAACCGGTATTTGGAGTAGGCGACGTCTGTGTTTCATCCCTGAACTGTAGACACAGACGGCTGCATCGTTGCGAAATGGGGTGGGATTCATCAGTACAGTACCCCATTTCGCTGTGTTGGAGGGGACATGTAAGTTTTGGTAAGAAAGATGAGAAGGAATGCGCAGGCCGATCTTTCGGATCCGTTTCCGCTGGTACACCCTTTCGCATCACGATTCTTTTGTCTGTTTCGTTGGTAAATGCGTACTGGCACATTTCCGGGAGAAGGAGCTGCCGTGAGCTTGCTTCTGCGCTACTTCGCAAGGGGGTCCATCGACACATCTGATGGCTGATAAAAGCGCTGCGCTGTAGGCGTTGAAGAAAGAGGTAGTGCTTTCCAGGGGTTGACTTACAGACCTTTTTAAGCAGTCTTTTTTGCGGCCGGAGTTTTTTGTTGCTATTTCAGTTAAGACAATACCCGCGCCTTATCAAGTTTTGCGTTCAGCTTTTGGACATAAACACCGAGAATTTTTTAGCATAAAATTCGTGAGAGACTGAGGTCGACTTCGAATCGCTATTATCCATGTGGTGGGTCGATGCACATTACTCAGATCCGAGATCGCAGGGAAACGCCATACCACTGGGAGGATGATTGGAAGCATGGACTGGCATGCAGGACGCTGATAAAGATATCCTGGCGGCCATGCGTTATACAATGCTGACGTGTCGACCAGGACTTTGTGTAGGTTGAGAATGACTGTGATTGATTTCTTCTTGGAAGTATTGAACGAATATAGTGGCAAGCGTATGCACTGTGTCTGATTTAAAGCAAGCTCGTGATATTTGCGATGGATGAATTTTAACGGAGACGGCCAAAAAAGAGTTTAACTGATGTTTGTCTGCGATTAGCATAGGGCCCAGAGTGAGGCAGGCCGAAGGATTACAGACTTGTTGATGTGGGTCAACCAGCAAACATTTTCAGATTTTTGTACGAAACTTCAAATGATCCTAATGATCAGGGTCCAGGAAGTTACGGTTGAGGAGTACTTCGCTCGTTTCAAAGAAATCGGGCTGCATTTCCTGCATCTGCCAGAAATAAAGGTTGGCCCATTTGGATCAGTTTGCTTGTTGCTTCTCAAGGCGATTCGTCTTCCATTTATTTATAAGCGTAGCAGTACGGATAAACCTCACCCACTTAGAATACTAAGATCAGAATTGGTAATCTTTGGATTAGACGCTGCCAAGGAACATCTCTGTGAAGTTCCAGGCTCCTAGCATGGGTCGTTTTCGAAAACGCTTTCTCGCCAAAAGAAACCTTCACGTGCCCTTACGTGAGAACCACGCGGACCTGAGCGTCCATTTTGAGGATACGAACCCGCACGTATGTTTAGATTAATTCACCAAATTTTCAGCCTTGTAGCTTTTGTGGATCTCGAGAGGAAAACTCGTTACAGACGCACACACACACACATACACACACGCAGACAACCCCTCGACAGTGTGCGTTTTTACACTGCATAGCTGAAAAAAACGCATAAAAAGGGTGAAAAGTAAGGAACAGGAGGAGACAAATAACGAAGAGTGTAAGTCAAATTAATAGACAGTAAATGAGAAAAGGCCAGTCAAAGGATAAAGGCGGAAGTAAAAGGATGCATGGAGGGGAAGGAGAGGAGTATGCAGAATATAGTGAAACGTAAAAGATGAAAAAGGAAAATTAGGTAAGAGAAAGGATGAATATAAGATGTACACGCATGACTGAGTACGTACTGGTGATCTACTGCGCAGAGGATTTTCGGCGAGTACGGGTTGAGGTTTTTACGTTCATCTGCCCAAACACATTCGTTTGCTATTGCTCAAAAAATTTCAGTCCTGTAGCTACTCTAGTTCCGAAGTTACAAAACTATTTGCGTCAAATTTCAGTGTACACATGTGAGATGCAGAAAAGCGAGAAGAGTCAATTTATTTTCACGAACACATCAACGGACGACAAACAATGGCGTGAATTACAGCCCTCTATAGTTTTCTACTTATTCTAAGTCTCGAGCTTGCCAGTTAATGACAATTTAAAAATTTGTGTCCTACGGCCGCGTAGAGACTGTGCTTGAATTTTTGGGTCACACTCAGGCATGGGACATCTTTGCAAAGTATCAGCCTTCTGACTTACCAGTTCCCGGAATCCCTTTCCCGCCAAAAATCCACGCCTCTGTAGGTAAGTACCAGCAGGAACGTGAACGTTCGTATTAAGCCTAGGAACCCACATAAAGGCATATACTAAGTTGCCAAAGTTTCAGCTTTATGGCTTTCGTAGATCTTGAGATCGAAAAACTCTGACAGACGTGACACAGATAGACGTGCGCGCACACACACACATGTACAGAACTCTCGAAAAAATGCATTTTTGCGTCGGACAGATCCAAAAAACGCGTAACTGGAAATTTTTAATGGATATTACCTCTATTAGAAAAGACTTTGCTACTGGAAACTGCCCCCTCCCTTTTTTCCTGTCATGACTTATTTTCTGTAGCTATTTAATTAAATGCATCAACGATTTTCGCGCAAAGAATATTTTTATTTTTATTTTTTTTTTTGCAAACGGCGAATGTCACACCATCCTTCATCTTATTCTGAGTACGAAATTCTGGAATAAAACAGTTATGACAATATGCAGAACGGAGCAGAACAACATTTGATGGTCCAATAACATTTTCCCGAGTGTCTATTTCACCTTGCACTATTTTTGCCAGTGCGAACTCATCGCAAGGGGTAATGCCCACAATTTGCAAAACGAGGAAAAAGGGAAAATTTTCGGCTTGAACATCTGTAGCGAGGTTATTTGAATGCGACAAACATAAGATGAATTGGGAAATTAGCAACTGTTACACCTACGCCGCCGAGCAGCGCGAAGATTAACCTCATAACCCCCCGCTTCCCCCTTTCCCCCCTCCCCCCCTTTCTCCCTCCTTCCCAGAGCTGTTCAAAATATAAAAGTGTAAAAATAATCCTGCACATGAAAAAACATATGCGCTAGTGGAATAATAAAAAACAACACAGCACCTTATCTCGCATTTATTTGAGAAGGAAAAGCCCTCTGGGACAGAGTGATCTAAAAACCTGTCATGCA